AAGAATGAGACAGAGGATGAAACGTTTGACCAATAGTCAGTGTAAAGAATGAGACAGAGGATGAAACGTTTGACCGATAGTCCGAGTAAAGAATGAGACAGAGGATGAAACGTTTGACCAATAGTCCGAGTAAAGAATGAGACAGAGGATGAAACGTTTGACCAATAGTCAGAGTAAAGAATGAGACAGAGGATGAAACGTTTGACCAATAGTCAGAGTAAAGAATGAGACAGAGGATGAAACGTTTGACCAATAGTCCGAGTAAAGAATGAGACAGGGGATGAAAAAGAAGGCAAAAAAGATGCACAAAAGTAAATATGGCGCCTGCACACCAGAGCACAATGTGTTCTTCTATGTTATTGCTGCCTGCGTCAGGGTGGGGGCTGTACCTCCCTCTGTTGTGCAATGAACTGTTAAATCGCTTCCCTACTCGCCTGAAACGACACCTAGACATGGATGGCCGGTGCCTCTATGATATACGTAAATTATTGATGGTTGGCCTTATTCACGTAACACACTGTTGAAGAATTGGAGAATAAAGCATTGGGAGTTGGGGGGGGGAGGAGGGTGTTGTTTTATTGCTTTTGATATGGCTTTCTCCTTGAGAATCTGGACAGTTCTGCCCAGTAAAATTCTCTTCATACTGTATTGTTTTGTAGAACTTGTCAATGAATCTGGCTGAGGATTGACTCAGCACTTAGATTGTCAAAGGTAACCTTGCCCGGTTCATGACAATTGGTATTAAAGCCCCGGTATAGCGCATTTTGTGAGACAGTTTTTCCATCTCCATTCTATTTATTATATGTCATTTTTGTGTGTGCCTAAAGAAAAGTAGGAAAAGTCAGATTTTGACCATTTCGAGATAAGGGTTGTACCTTATAGAAAATTCTATACTGAACGCATTGGGGTTTTTTAATTTTTGAGATTTCTCAACATATATATTGCACATTTTGTGAGGTAGGGTATAACGATCTAATTTGGAGAAAATTAGCTTTTAAGTTTAGGACACATACAAACTTGAAAAAAATGATGATTCAATTGTTTCTAATATATTTATTCATGGAAAATTCATTTCCGATTTGGCATCCAGTTGACATCAATATCATGATTAGAATTCAATGGTAAAACATAGCGGGGAAGAGAAAACATGCTTCAAGAATTTTAGTCAAAAGGGGGTTTTTTTGGTCATTATCTGCCTATAGCCCAAAATGATGAGTGGCATCCTTTGGTACATTTCTTCAGGCACACACACTTATGTGTTTATCACTCTGAGCACATACTTTGTGGGTGGTTAGCGAATGCTCTGATATGGTTTGCTCCTTGTTTGGTGTCAAGCATCTATCGTCCTTATCTCTCCTACATCTTTTTTGTGTTTGTAACTTACTCTCTTGTGATTCCTCTAATCTTCGCCACTTATATAACTTCATTGTGTTGCAAGTCCCGTAAAACTCTTACTAAAACTTTTTTTTAAACCAGTGCTCACTTTTCGTCTCTCTCTCCCTTTCCTGACAGGGTCAGTGGTGGCTGTTCAACCTTTGACCTCAAACTCACAAGGAACGATCTTAGGTCAAGTCTTCAACAAGTTCATCTCTAAAAAGCCTGGTGAGTAGCCCTCCCTGCCCCGTGTCCTGATCTTGGTGCCCGTGCTTGTTGGTTACGTAAAAAGAATGTAATGACATGGTGCAAATTGTTGTTTTCTAGAGAAACGAAACAAGGGAAAGGGGAATCGTTAAGTCGGTAATGATGATGATGATGATAATGAGTAGCCCTACCTGTCCCCGTCGTTTTATGCAAGAAAAATTCTGAAATTATGCAAACTGAACCCAAAAATTTGAAAAGAGATTCTGTTAATTTTGACAAAGAATGAAAAAGGAAAATAATGAGAAATTATGAAAAAAATGATCAAATTATGCGGGGTGCGTAAAACTACGGGGACAGGCCTTCGAGAGAGAGGGGTGGGGTGGTTGGGGAGAGCGGTGCGGAGCGGGGAGGGGAATCTGTTCTTGTGCAATGTTTTGGCTCGGTAAACTTTGCTGTATTTATTTGGGTTGTAATTGGAACTTTTAGGGTGATCTGTGGGGCGGGTGCTCTAGTTTCGTCTGCTCTTTCTTTCCTAGCAAAATCAAACATCTATCGTCCTTATTTCTCCTCCTCCTTCTTTTTTTTTTTTTTTTTCGTTTGTTACACTCTTACTTGTGATACCTCCAATCTTTGGCACCTGTATGACTCTTATTGTGTTGCAAGCGCTGTAAAACACTAAAACAGGAGACATAGAAACTAACCTACCACTCTCTCTTCTTTATGTGTATAATTTAATGAGATTAGAAAACCCCTTGGGCACATTTCTTTTTATTCTATGCTTACCAATCTAAAATATGAAATCCAACTCTCTACTATAAGGGTAGATACAATTTAAGTTGAACTCTTACTAAAACATGACAAATATATGAAGAGCACAGGAAGAAAACGACTGTAGTCTTGCACTTGAAATTGTGAGGGTGCCAATTTTAAAAGCTTTTGCACTCATAACTTCATATTTGTTTGACTGGTAGTTTATTGTTAAGTGTTGTTGAATGGGAAATCTAACAACAATAATTAACCTACAGTTGAACAGAAATACAGTTATGAGTCAACAAGCGTTCAAAATTGGTACCCTCACAATTTTCAGTTTGTGATTACAGTGGTTTTTCCCCCTGTAGTCTTCATAAGTATAACTGAACCGTACATCATCTGGCCCGTTGTTCTCTCCCGTCAGGCGTTCTGGAAGTGGAGCTGGAGTGTGTGGAGGCCCTGCTGGAGATGTTGCCCCTGTGCGCCGATAAAGGCCTTGAGATCCTCAACCGGTGGCTCGCCGGAAACCGCAAGCGCTGCCCCAACCAGACGTTCGCCAAGATCATGCAGGCCAAGAGCCTGCTCAGCCTGAAGAAAGCCAAGTGATTGCGGTCACGATGATGCGACATCTGTGTGGCTTGTGCTGTGCCCTCTCTCGCACCGCGGCTCAGCCAGAAGAAAACCAAGTGATTGCGGTCACGTCTCAGAGCGACATTTGTGACTTGTGCGGTGCTCTCTCTCGCGCGCGCGCACTGCGGTTCAGCCAGAAGAAATCCGAGTGGTCACGGTCACATCACAGCGTGACATTTGTGACTTTTGCAGCGCTCTCTCTCTCTCTCTCTCTCTCTCTCTCTCTCTCTCTCTCTCTCTCTCTCTCTCTCTCTCTCTCTCTCTCTCTCTCGTTCTCTCTCTCGCACCGCGGCTCAGCCAGAACAAAGTCAAGTGATTGCGGTCACGATGACGCGACGTTTGCGGCTTGTGCTGTGCTGTGCTCTCTCGCGCGCTGCGGTGGTGGTCACTTTGTCGTTATTATCAAGCTGTGCTGTGAACTTGAATGGGAAAATGACTGGCTTGTGTCCCGTCCTGCGCTCTCACATGACCTTATGCTGTTGCCATCGCCGTAAAACTTTTTACCTAGGTGGTTGGCGGGTGTTCTGGTGTGGTTTGCTCCTTCTTCCTATCAAACATCTGTCGTCCTTATATCTCCTCCTTCTTTTTTTGTGTTTGTTACTCTCTTGTAGCACATCTATTCTTCGTCACTTATATCTGGCCCCCCAGGAAATCGCGGTCTTGCGGCCGCAATAAACCCGCAATTTTTTAGCAATTTGTGCAATTTTAGGCTAAAATACATCAACACCTTAATTTGAAGAGAATTTTTCATAGGAAGTGGTGCGAGTACCGAGCCCATGGGCCTACGTAAGTCATGGTTTCGGCCCAGCTCTAGTCTACAAAGTTAAAGCTATATAACCGGAAATTCAGGCCGGAATACATCATGTTCAACACAAACTGAGACACAGAGATCTAATGTGTGTAAGTTTAAGCGTGCGCGTGTGTGATAAGAAAGTAGATGTATGTATGATGTGCATGTGTGTGCGCGTGTGAGTGTGTGTGTGTGCACGCACGCACGTGAATATTGTTCGCACATACATGATGCATATGTCTACTTACACGGTAAACGGGCACCTAGTCTCAGTATCTACGTACACGGTAACCTGAATGAAAATTAGATCAATATTTGTCCTATGCTGTCACTTGTTGAAAAAAAAAAAAGAAAGTCATACTTGTACACACGTCTTGTCGGGCTCGCCATCGTCACCTGTGCTTTCGCTTCACATTGCGAGTACCGGTTGACGTCTCCAAAGTTCATTCAAAGTCTGTGCGTTGCGAAGTATAGGGCTCCGGAATGGGGGGATTATTGATTTTTTTTTTTGAGGTACAGTCCGGAGAGGGCTGGGGTTGAAGGCAACACCGGATGACAAAAACTGAACTTGGAGTTCTGAACTGCCCATTTACCGTGTACGTGACACTGAGACTACGTACCCGGTTGCCGGTTACCGTGTACGTAGACACTGAGACTAAGTGCCCGGTTCCGTGTACGTAGACACTCCCTTAACGTAAAACGCCTTAAGCTGCATTCACACGGGAGTGGTCGTTAGAGAAATGATCTACATTACTAATACTATTAAATGGGAAAAATATGTTGCTGTATTTTACGATTTGACTTCGTGTTAAAACAATACGATACTGGTTAAAAAAAAATATAAAAAAATCTGAAATTAGATCTAAATACAGATTACCGATGTATCGAAGGTTTCAAGAGAAAAATAGAATATGATCTGAATTGATTGGGGTATAAGCTACTTTTGCATTTAGAGGTTGTTTCGAAAATCTCCCATCAAATTTTTTGTTTTTATAGACTAAACCTCGTACTACACTTGTAGATCTTTGCATGAACCAAGTGCCCGCTGTGTACTAAATTTGGTTAAATTTTACGCCTTCATTTAAAAGTTATTACAAAAACTGAGGGTTCCGTTATTTGGTGTCATGCGGTATTATATTATATTTGGTCGATAACTTTATTGTTAACGTACTCGTGTGTTGTCACTAGTAAATGTTAATACAATTTGTATTGAGGGTCATAATTGTTTAAAAGGCTGTTGTGCTTTTATGCTACCGGTACTCAAATTGTCATGTTTTTTCAACTAAAATTGTTAAATGTTAAGCCCGTATTAATGCGTCTGGGATGGGAAGGTTGCAGTTTTTTTGCAATTTTTTGGCAGTTTACCTCGCAATTTTTTGCAATTTTTCTATTTTAAAAATGCAATTTTCCACGGGGCCAGTTATATGACATTATTGTGGTGCAAGTACCATAAAACTCTTACTAAAACTAAACTGAAACTTTTGACCAAACTGAAACTCTGTTATGATCGTCGGTCCTGTTCAGACACTTAAGTCCAGCTGATATAGATCTTGTGCCAAAATCTCTTTGCCCAGTGGGTGGTTGGAGGGCGCCACCACTGACAAGTCCGACTTCTTTACTTTCACTCTATTTGCTTCTGTCCGTCCATCTGTCTTGCTTTGTTCCAAAGCTGAAGCAGTTACTCTGCCTCAGTTGTATCATTTGACGTTTGACAGACTGATTCTTTGTCGGTCAAAAATGCAAAAGTAACACATCTAACATCTTGTATGTCTCCGGGGAGCCTGTGCCACTTTCATTTCTATGTTTTGTGCCAGTTGGTTTGAAAATAGTCCGGGGGTTTTCGAGTGGATGAATGTTTGATCGCACCCTCTTGTGATATGCCACAGGTCCTTCAAGCAGTATTGAAAACACAGTCAGGCTTGGATGACTTAAACACGTCGCACATGGGTGGTTGGCGGGTGCTCTGGTGTGGTTTGCCTCTTCTTTCCTACCAAACATCTATCGTCCTGATCTCTCCTCCTTCTTTTTTGTGTTTGTTACTCTCTTGTAACACCTCTAATCTTCGGCACTTATATGACCTTAGTGTGTTGTAAGTGCCGTAAAACTCTAACTAAAACTTTTAAAAACACGTCGTGGATTGACAAATGAGTGCAACACTTCCTTAATTGGATAAACGGAATAATGAAAAAATTATCAAAGAGACGTCAGTCGCGGAATGGCAAACTTCTACGAGCTATCCGCAATTTGGAGTATTCCATGTTGGAGTTATCCGTGGCTGACTGCAGTTTTTTTCCTTCGTACATTCCTTCGTTGTCTCTCACTCGGTGTGTGCATGCACTGTCCAGCTGATGCACTGTCCAGCTGTCTCACTGGCAGATTGAATTTTGTATTGTTTTCTTGAACAACTCATTTGCAGACCTGCCAAGTATTTCGACAAAATCGGAGCTCTCAGATTAATCCCCCCCCCTTGGAAAAACCTCAATCGAATTTGCATAAAGTCCAATTTTTTTCTTGAAAACACAAAGTATGGTAAATGACGGGAAAATGCACCGGTTTATTTGCAATAATTTCAAGACTTATTGTAAATAACGTGAAAATACACTTTTTTTGCTCACATTTGGAACCCACTTTACCTGCCATGATTAGTTTGTAACATAATCTGAATCTTCTGGAGTTCTGAAGACGCTGATAGTTTTTTTACTCCAACTCCCATATTTGTGGAAAATTCTGAGGAAGAACTCCCCTATTTTGTTTTTTGTTATGGAGGGGTTGGCAGGTCTGGATCTGTGTCCCCCATGCTGTACAAATAAAACTCTGAACATTTTACTTTGGTTTCTCTTGGCAGCCACTGTTAATGGTGTTGAAAGTGAAAATGACAGTTAATGCTTTTTTGTGGGGATTTTCTGGTTCTGTGAAGTTTTTCTTCCCAGGGTTCTGAAGTACCCGGTATGTCCAGAAAAGTATGATGTTTACTGTAATTGTGCACCCCCGTGTCAATGAAAAGTAAAGTTTGGCCCCCAGGCTTTGAACTGCTGGACCTAGTGGACAACTTATGAGGGTCACTGTGGAGTGGCAGCAGTGTGTCCCAGGAACAGCCAGCTGTGTGCTCTGATTGTCAGGATGTGGGAAGAAGGAGTTGACTAAGACTTTGCTTTTACCTGTTTCTGTTTCTGTTCAGTATAATGTTGTCAAGGTTTGTTGTTGTTTGGGTTTTTTTGTTTTTTGTTTTGTTTTGTTTTTTTGGGTGGAATGTTTGCCCAGTTCAGTTACTGCACTGGGTTTTTGTAGGGGGGGGAGGGGGTTTGGTGTTTTTTGTTTTGTTTTTGGGGGGATTTTTTTGCGTTGATGGAGGAAATATGTCATTCCATGATTTTGTTGTTTTACCTGAGCTCAAAAGTAGCGGATCGTTCAACTAGTCTCGTCGGATATGATGATGATGCGGCCTTGAAGACGTCAACTGACTCTGTCTTATGTATTGATTTCCTGCGGAAATCCAGTCTTTCAGTTTTCTCGGTGATTGCATACATGTGGTGTGAGCAAGTCACGTTTGATCTGATGTAGGAATGGTGTTGCACGATACTGCCGTTAGCTGGCAAAACACCTTTTTAAAAAAATTCACTGCAGTTTTGAGAAAAATGGGGTTTTTTGTCAGCGCGAACATTGTATAATAGAGTTCTTCCGAAATCTGAATTCCAATTTGTTCAAAAAATTAGATCTAGTCACAGTTTCTCTTTAATTTTTTTTTTCACACAAGTAGGGTAACTGATCAGGCTTTTGATTTAATAGCAAATAAAAAATGTTGGCACCATTATGAAAAAAGGTGTTTTGTCAGCTTCTGGTAGTATATAGATGATGTCACATATAATCTTGTGTTTATCCCTGCAATACGTATTTATGTATGTATGTGATAGATTGACTGCTCATTGTAAGACTCCCTCGTACGTATGGTGGAGTCTTGCACTAAGCCGTCGGTGTGTTTACATGGATCCAAACGGAATGTAATATGTGTGTTGTTTTAACTGGATGTATGGAATGTTATTAAATGTGTCAATGGGTTTCTCAGCTTGAAGTGGCTTTCGCTTCATTCTGCATATCTGTATATGTTATTATAGCGGTGTCTGTGGTTCAGTTATTGCTTCGACACGCATGTACATATTTGTGTTTATTTGTGTATAATTTTGTATGTTTTTAACCTGGATGTGATATGCCTTTCAGTTTTCTCCTACGTTAAATGGGTCCTACAATGTATGTGGTTTCCTGCAGTTAACGACGTATGGAAATGTTTAAACGTTTTGGATGTATGTGTGTTTGTGTTAGGTGGAGTCTGACAAAGGACATGGAAAGAAGACTGAGATGATGATCAATGTTTCATTCAATAATGCTCTGAAGTTTTGTACTTTTGCAGCGAAAAGTTCGTTTTGTTTGTTTGGAGTGAGTCTTTTTTTTTTCTGTGTTGTGAAAGATATGTTTTCTGTTCCGTAACACTGGGCGCAGGTCAAAGTTTTCTATTCTTGTCGTATTTGACGCAACAAGGGATGGGTTTATTCCTAAGTGTGCACTGAAGCCACCTTTAAATCAACCTGACCCAACCTTACCTGATCCACAATGGACACTAGGTATATTATGTGGGCACAATTAGACTGAATTCGACGAAATCCGATCGTGGCTTTCAAAATCAAACGCGTTTTTTTAGGTCACGAATAGAATCAGTCAGAAGATTTGCCCCTCCACAAATGGAAAATCTGGCAGGCTCGACTCAGTGCGTCGGAATTTGATTGGCAGTTAGCAGTGTGCACTACAGGTGTACTTCGTCTGCTTCTGAGCTTTTCCAGTCGCTGGAGGTTGTTTTCTCTGACGTTTAGTGGGTGGTTGGAGGGTGTCACTGATAGGTCCTACTTCTTTACTTTCCCCTCTATTGTTTTTGTCTGCCTGTCTGTCTTACTTTCTCCCAACAGTAAGTGACCATTATTAGTTTATTATTGTGTTGATGTGCTGCTCTTTACTGAAACAATCTTTGGGCCATTCCCAAAGGGGAGACTTTTCTCGTTCATGCACAGTAGAATTGTAAATGGGCTGATTCATGTCACGCTCATAACTGTGCCTGATCTACGACAGGGAACTGCTGCTTTTTCTTTCCTAATCCTTACCATTGTCATTTTCCTCTACTTCTTTTGTATGTTTGTCACACTCTTGTGACCCGCTATTTCCGGGGTGCTTTGATAGTCGAAGCAGACTTTGTGCTGAAGCTAGAGAGGTGAACAGAGTAAGTCTGATTCCCTGTAAAGACTTCTGTGTTGACATCCACCCTAAGGCGCTCATATGACCTTATGCAGTTACGAGCGCCGTAAAACCCTCTACTAAACTAAAGTAAATAAACAATGGCGAACCTTTCTAATGGTGCTGGTACGGTAGTCTCGTGGTTAGGCTACTGGGCCTGTGATCGTGAGATTGTGGGTTCAGGGGTTTGAGCCTCAGCTCGGTCCAACGATGTGTCCCTGAGAAAAGATCTTTACACGAATTCCTATTTGGCTTGGTCTATTTGGCTCGGTACTTTCGGAGATGGACGTTAAACTCGGAGGTCCCGCCTCTTGAATAACCTTATAATGTTGATAGGGGAGTTAAGCCTATCGTACCCTTCTGCAATAAAACACCTGTCTCTTGCCTTTCTGACAGCCTGAGTTATTTTGCTTACACGACCAGCCTATAGAAAACCTACGTGACACAATTGGACCGAGCAATAGCCACCATCACGCCCCACTGACACACAAAATAAATGCTTCCTACTTTACCCCCCCCCCCCCCCCCCGGTTTTTACACGTGCAGATACATCCCAACGACCCTCCCCCCCCCCCCCCAAAAAAAAAAAAAACCGTTTCTATTCAATCCATCTTTTTTATGTCCTTTCTCTTCAGGAAATCCGAAAATGAAAATTGACCAAACTGAATCCGAAAATTCCGAATTTGAACAGTTTGGCGACGTCGAAAGCTTGAGAATTCTTGGAAAGAGCAAATTTATACATGTATTGAGATCTACACTCACAAAAAAGGAATGTGTCGATGATGAATGATGATAAAAGAAAAACGTGCTGAGCCAAAAAACAAAACAAAAAAACTGTAAAAATTGGCTCTACAGGCGGGAAAATTTCGGTTTCTTCAGTTTCATTTCTTCGACAAGCGTCTGTTTGCACCACGGTGACACGCTACATATGGGGGCTCTCGTGGCCTACAGGTTAAGGTGTTTGCCTCTCATTCAAAGGTCCTGGGTTCGAATCCGGGTAGCGACCGAACATTTTCTCCTCTAAAATTGTCTCCTTTCACCTTCTTTCCTGCTCGCTTGTAAGAATGCAATGTTCTATCGTCTGCTTTCGTCTCCACTTTCTGCCCCCACCCCCTCACCCCATTTTCCCCCTCCTCTAGGCTCCTGACTCTTTCTGCTACTACTCCTTGCCTCCTTCTTATTGCTGTCTTTCAGCCACACGCCTGATCTTTTTTTAAGGAAAGATATACACCTAGCCTTCTCGGACAAGGGCGAAAAATCTCGGAGGTCCCGTGTGCAATTTGCGCACGTTAAAGATCCCTTGGTGGTCTAAAATCGATTTATAAGAGAAGGCTTCTGCCGCCACTCGGGCAAAATTCAAAATGTCCTACCCACTGAAAATGTGTAATGTGTCCCGCGCACTCCTATGACCTTATACAGTTGCGAGCGCCGTAAAACACAAAATCTGCCCCTCCCCGCATCGTCTGTTGAACCGTTGCGTTTTTCCTTTCTACTCGTGTACGATAGTTGTTGGCAAAGATCTGATTCTTCTTATATATCGAAATACCTGTCCCCGTGGTTTTATGCACCCCGCATAATTCAGCAAAATTTGATCATTTTTTTGCAATAATTTCTGATTATTTTCCTTAATCATTCTTTGATAAAATTAACAGAATCGCATACAGTCGAACCTGCCCTGACGGCCACCTCTATAAGACGGTCACCTGTACAAACGGCCACTTTTCATTTCCCCCCTTGCGTTTTTTCTATATACATGTATTTTCACATTTTTGGGCTCAGCGTGCATAATTTCAGAATTGGTCTTGTTTAAAACGACTGGGACAGAAATACACGCAGCTGATCAGATGAATTTACCTCTGCCCACGTTGGCAGATTAATTAGAATTTTTTTTAATAGAAGCCGCCAAGTTTCTAAGCTTTTCTTGAAAATGTAACTGCAATGAGCTGGCCTTTGTGTTGCTGGTAGTGGTAGGGTCGTTCTGGATCTTCTTTGTGTCCTGTCCACGCCGCTGACTGCAACCGTACTTCTGTAATGCAATAACGAGACGCAACAGTTAACAGTGAAATAAGTATGACCGTGCACGTAGTAGTAAAAGTAAAGTATAGTTGTTCCCAAATCCGATCTGGACATTGAGGATTGCCTTGTCAGTGAGACAACTTGTCAGTGAGACAACTTCCTGGGCCTTCGGCATATTGTGGTAGGGTGGCCAGTTCCTTTCCACGCCGCCTTTACTTCCCCTGCTCGAAGTCAGGTACCCATTACTGCTGGGTGAGCAAGAGGGGGAGAAAAAAATTCGTGTTTGAACCGAGGCTGGAACCCGGGCTTTCCGCTTCGGAGACGAGCGCACTAACCGCTCTGCCACAGCACACTCGTGCATGTAGTAGCATCAATATAAAAAAAAAAACAGCCAAGAAAAAGAAGCGTCAGAAGAGACATTACAAGGCTGTAGCATTAACAGTAACAGTATGGCAACAGATGAATAATGATCGAAAGAAAAGTTCTGGAAGGGTCTATCATTATCAATTATAATTGTTGTTGTTGTTTTTTGTTTTACTTTCTAACACGTCTCCATCTTTTCAAAAAACATATTTTTGCACACAGTCTACAATGATTACAATAATAATAATGGTGATGATTATTATGATGATGGTGATTATGATAATGATATAAGAAGAAGAAGAAGAAGAAGAAGAAGAAGAAGAGGAAGAGGAAGAAGAAGAAGAAGAAGAAGAAGAAGAAGAAGAATGATGGTGATAATGATAATGAGAGCATACTACTACTGCTACTACTACTACTACTACTACTACTACTACTACTACTACTACTACTACTACTACTGCTGCTGCTGCTACTGCTACTGCTACCGACAAACAAACGGGCCTCACCTGCACAAAACAACGGCGGAATTTGTGGCCGAAGTAACAGTAGCAGAAAAAATTGACAGTGGCGTTGAGGATGTCGAAGAGATGGGACAGCGCTGCCAAGCTCCCACAGTACAGAGGGCAGTCGTTGTTGTAGATCGTGTCGTGGTACTCCATCACTATCAGCATCACAATACGTAAGGTGCGGGACGTCAGGGTAAACAGAGAGATAAACAAAACCTGTGGGAGAAAAGAGAATCCTTCATGTTGGTTATAAGCCCTCTATATATACTATGTGAGGCAGCGTGGTGGAATCAGGCTCTCGTCAATTTGTGGGCATGTAGAGTTATTAGTACCATCTTATAGCTTGTTCACTTGTCTTTATTTGGATGAGAAAAACTATTCATTTATCTTGAATACAAGTCGAGATATTTGCGAATGAAGGAGGTGGAGGTCACCTGTTTTCAGAGGTAAAATTGGTGAGGAAATGGTCGCCAAAGATTAGTTATTTCTTTAGCTTAAGAGTTCGTGGAAACTAAAAATTTACATTTATTGTTCCTTTAATCAACGTTTTTCAGAAAAATCCACACAGAAATGAGTTCTTTAACGGGCATGAAAGGCGTTGAACCCAAAAACAAAAAATTGATAAAAATTCACAAACCTGCAGAAAAATGCAAGTTTCTTCATTTTGATTATTTTGACGAGAGCCTGATTCCACCACGCTGCCTCACATATAGTCTAGTGCGCACATAGCGAAATGCAAGGTGGGTGGCGGGGTTTTTTTCGTTATGTGCGAATTTTGCTTTGTATAAGTTTTAAATACAAGGAATATAGGCTCCATGTTTTAATATGTAAAATCTGTTCGCTGTGTATACATAAACACAAACATACACACACACACACAATATATATATGCACAAATACACACACACAGACACACACACCTACACACACACACACACACACACACACACACACACACGTACACACACTCCTACACACACACACACACACACACACACACACACACACTCACCTGAGAGGTAATCCTCCCTGTATCACGGTTGTCCTTTCTCTCCGCCACACTGACGCCCAGGCCGCGAGCCTTCAGCTGTTGACGTCTGAGTGACCACACGATGACCACGTTCGTTATCCCGACAACGGCCATGGGGATGGCAGAAGTCAAGATGGGGTTAAGGAACTTTAGGTATACCTGTAGATAGATCATGACAACATTGAAATAAAGATGGGGTTAATGAACCTAACGATATTGGCAACGGCGACGTAAAAATTGGGTTAAGGAACTTAAGGTTTACGATATACAAGTAGCCTACCTGAAGACAGATATTGGCAACGCCGAAGTAAAGATAAGCTTAAGGAACTTAAGGTACCTGTCTGCAGATAGATAATAATGGTAAAGGCGAAGTAAAGATGGGGTTATGGAACTTGAGGTATATCTGTAGATAGATAATAATGGTAAAGGCGAAGTAAAGATGGGGTTACGGAACTTAAGTTATACCTGTAGAGGAAAGATACTCTAGTCTAAGGTATCGAATAAAAGGGGTCGGGGTGGACAAATGGTCGAAAATTAATAAACGGAGGGAAGGGGTTGGAATAAAAGTTGGGGGGGGGGGGGTTGCAAATTCAACCTTATACCATGTACTGGTAGGAACAAATATGTTTTATTTCTCCTTCAGTGGAAAAAAAGAACAAGAGACCATGAAATTTTAGTGATTTTAGTAAGTTACTGTGACAACTTTTCTCATTTAGAAGCAAACCCGTTTGATTTTTTTAAATAAACCAATATACAACATTTTTTAAAGAGCACAGAAAATTGAGGTAGCCAACCCAGAAGCGGTGCTAATACTAATACTGAGGGCAATTTGCCATTTACAACAACAACAAAAATAAGTTTCATACACGTATCTAGATTCTAGATATAATGTTTCACAGGATCGTCGGTCGTGGCAAGCTGGAAAATAATAAACGGGGGGTATGGAATAAGGAGAAGAATCACAGAAATCGATGTACAGAAAAGTGGGAAGACATGGAATAACATCAAGAGGCTAGCCCAGGATAGAGAAAGGTGGAAGGTGTTAGTCCGTGGCCTATACGCTGGTGCAGAGTGAGAAAGGCAATGATGATGATGATGATGATGATGATGATGATGATGATGATGGTTATGGTGGGGGTGGAATAAGGAGCGGGGGGGGGGAGTGCGCAAAAAACCATGAAAATTAATAAGCAGGGGTGGGGAGAGAGACTAGAGCTGGGCGGAGGACTGATTCCGGAACCGATTCCCACGATTAATGCTACGGAAGAAAAGTTCCAACTCCTTTTTTTACGTAACCCAATGGTTACCAGTTATTTAATCATTAAAATCTTCTTTTTTATTAGAATTTATTTTTGAAAAAAAAAAGTTGATGCTTCGTAGTGCTCCAAAATCAAGGATATCCTAAATCCTGAAGATGTTCGGAGCCAACCAGGTAACCACCGGAAGAAAT